TGAAGTCCAATAGAAATGGAAGGATTTTTATGGCACCTTAGTAATCTTTAACATTCTTAACTCTTTGTATCACTCTCAGAATCTTTGTGAATTATACAACTTACACTGATGAAAAAAAACTTATGTTTAGATGATGTTATCAAGTATGTTAAATATAGACTTCAGACAAAATAGCAGAAAATACAGCTACAGGAATCATGCTACATTTTCTGTACATTAAATGCTACACTGTCAAAATGAAAACACATTAAACAAGTTACAGCTTTAACACAACCCTGGCAACATTGATACACAGACCTGAGCAGCCACTAGATGGACTGTTCTGGAATATTCAGCCACTCTTCCTGTACAGCTGCAACCAGCTGCATGCATGTCTGCCTTTTCAGGGAAGTACCTGTGGTGAGTCTGGAGTGCCCCACGGTCTTCTCAGGAGTGGAAGGGTCAGAAATTCATGCCTGGAGACTAGTTGCCAATTAACAGAGAGGAAATGTGGGAGGTGCACAACACAAACCTTACTGTGCCCTGAGCTCGTGAGTTATGAGCCCGACTTAGTAGGAGAGCTCCTACAGAGGAAGAAAGGAGGAGAGCTGAACAGGGAAAGGAGCCCAGCCGATGGAGCAGCTGAGCTTACGTGACCAGGGGGGGTTACAGCTCTGCAGGCCCACATGTTCTCCAGCTGTTCAGACCAAGTAACTGAGATCCAGCAGCTGTGAACCAGAGCTTGGTGCTTGCAGAAACAGTTGGAAATTGAGCATGATGGTGTATTGGAACTGTTGCAGGCAGAAAACGCATTTGTTTGAGACTGCCTCCACTCCAATGTCAGACAGAGAGACACCAAGGTGCAGAGCTGGGAAAGCTATAGCAAGAGTGCACCAAATTGACATGTGAGCTGAGCAAGAGGAGTGAAGTCCAACAGGGTCACGAAAAGATAGGAAAGAGCCCGAAGTCCATGCTGGCTGCCTGTGAGACACAATTAGCCAGCTGCACCACTTACTGTTCAGTCAGGCAGAGAGTGAACGCTTACTTTGGAAGTAATTGAAAGAAATGAGCAATGAGCTGGAAAATTCTTAGAGGAGTGGCAGCAGCCTCCAGGCAGAGCTACCATCTCCATAGTAGCAGCATAAGTGAAGGACCAGGGGACTGGAGAATAGTTTTAGCCAGGCTGTTGCTGATAAGAGACATTTGGAGATCCTGTCTGGAGAGGTCCTGCTGGAGACTAGCCAAAAGGAAGAAAAAGGAAAAACCAAGGCACAATCTACAAATGGAAGAAGAAATTCGGGAACAAAATTCCAAATACTTGTTGTTTTGATGGAATGCTTAAAAACCATCAATACACCTCTGCTGATAAGAAGTCCAAAGAGAAATTAAGTTCTGCTAAAGCCACAGATGGTGTTGTGGAACAGCAGCAGCTTAGATTATTCAAGAGGGAGACAAGGGTTGCTCTTCAGATGTCTCTCTCTCATTCCTTCAATGCAGAACAGAAAAAAATGAGCTCAGGAATTCAAACAGAAATTGCAAGACATTGTCATCCAGTCCACTAGAGAAATTAGGCACCAGCTCAAGGAGGCAGAGGAGTCTCAGAAAACCTTATAAGAAGAGGCTTAGTAGTATGGAAGTGTGCTACCTACAACCAAAGGTATGCTGGAGGACCTTTAGATAAGCTTTGAGCAAAGGGAGCTGGTGTGGAGAACAAAGATGGGAGATTATCAGAGCTATCTGAAAATGGCCAAGCTTGAAACCCAGGAATCTGAGTGAGATACTAGAATACTAGCTTTGGTCAGGTAGGAAGCAAGTAAGTAGGAGCTAATTGTGCCCCAAGGCTCCCAAAAGGAGAGAGTCCCAATACATGAGGGAGGTACATCTCTTGTTGCCAGGAGCAAAGGAAGGAGAAGCACCCTGGACTGAGTCTCCAGAGAAGGGAAAAGGGAGTTATCATTCCTGTTCTGGTTTGAGCCTCCAGAGGACCATGGGAATAACAGCCTACTACCTTTTGCTGTTGTCACCTTGGCTTAAATACCCTGAAGAAGGGAAAGCTGTAAAAAGGGTCTCAGGTATCCACTGCAACCACTACAGAATAAGTAAAGTGACATTGTGAGTCAGTGCAGGGCAGGTCAGGGCAGAACTTTAAGTTTAGTAATTTCAGTAAAGGGAACTTTTCTGTTGTTGTAGCCAATTGTACTCTATATGGCTAAAAAAGCGATCTTATCTAGTGTCTTTGATTCACTGGAGTCTACTAATAATACTGCACTGAAACCTCCAGCATCATATAGTCTTGTCATTGACATTTTCTACATGTTCAGAACCTTGGAGACACTTCACTTAGGGATGAGACCTGTCACACAATGCTATTGGAATTACTTTCTGAAATAGTTCAACTGAACTGTTGCATCATACCTTCAGTGATAGCCAGTGATTTACCTTTCCAGCCATGTTTTTGTGAAAAATGTACATAGTTCATAGGTCCCATTCGGTCAAATAAAACTTATTTAACAAAGTCTAATACAAAGACATGTCATTCAACCCAAACGAAATAAATCAAACACTTAATGTAGTTTGTAGCTGATAAATATCCACACAATCAGTAGATGGAACACATTCAAGTGTTCTGCTATAACTGCTAATTCTCTTTTGCAAGCACATTTGCTGCCCTCTGCCTCGAAGTGCTGAGAGTTGTTTTAGGCTATTAACACACATTGTAATAAACAGCATGAGTATTCATACACTTTATAGATATTTATTAAAACTTAACAAGATAACATTTTAATTTTCAAAGGCTGTTACAGGCCAAATATCAATCTTGAGTAATCACTGAGTTTATTAATAAAAAAAAATGATTGTGAAGCAAAACTATTACCCAAAAAAGTATTCAAACTATTTTCTTCATGATGAATTATAGCATGTGTTATTCAAATATCCTCTATTAAATAACTATAAAATGTATAACAATCATGATGGTCTAAAAATAATTACCAGGAGGAACAGACAAATCCAACAAGTACTTCAAAAAAATGCGAATAACAATGTTCAGTGTGGATTTCTGCCAGGTTCATACTGGAAGGTTAACTGGCCTCTGTACAAATTTGACCCTGGTGTGAGTGTGTTTGTGTTTGTGGCTGTGTGTACCCTACGATGGACTAGTGCCCTGCCCAGTGTGTATCCCGCCTTGTGCCCTTTGTTGCTGGGTTAGGCTTCGACTCCCCCATGACCCTGTTCTGGATAAACTGATTAGAAAATAGATGGATAAATAACCTGTGGCATAAGTTCCTAGGAGTCAAATACACACAAACACATGAAAGTGTTCTATTTATATTTTTTAATGTAAAAACGTAAGACTAATATCTGTAAAACTTGCAGCTGATTTTCTATGTATGATCTATGTAGAGGAAATGTAAAGGAATTCAATACAAGTGCAAAAAAAAGCAACAATATAACTTCAGGTTGTCGAGATTGAGCAAAGAATAGGCAAATCTGAGAAGAAACCTGCTTTGGTCTGCCAAACAATTAAAACAAGGACAGTGACTCAAAACACAAGGCAAAAGTGAAGCTATTGTGACTTAATAAGAAGGGATTAAATGTCTTGAGAGGCCCAGTCAGAGTCTTGACTTAAACATAAAATCTGTAGCAAGAGTTGAAAATTGCATCAACAATCTGTAGCCAAGACCTTGAGGAAAATGGGATAAATTGCCCAGTGTGCAAAGTAAGTAGAGACATCTTAAAAAACTCACAGCAATAATTTCTCTCAAAGGTGCTTGCACCAGGTAGTGACACAGGGGGGTGGATATTTATGTAATTCACATTTTAGTTAGTGATTTTCCTTTGCAGTTTTCGCTGACATTTACAGTACTTCTTTTAATTTAACACAGATTACATTAAGATTCCTCTAACCTTCTTTTCTGACAAGGGTTCATGCTCTTCAATCAAGATTTGATTATTTTAATTGATACAGAATAATTTTTATACAAGTTATACAAGGACAATGAAAAGAAACTGATTTGTTTAACAATTCAATTCAATTGAGATAATTTTTTATAAGCAAGGAGAACATATTGAATATAATTATTTTAATAAATGAATATATATGTACAGTATGATGTTTTAATCATTTATTAGGTCAAGCATCTGAATAGTTCTGGTGTGTAAACTAGTGTCAATGTAATAAATCATCTAACATGATATGGAAAATCCTTTTATATACATTTGAACCATAGTTCCACAGTTACAAACACAAAGGTATAGGTATTAATATTTTCACTTGTTAGCAGCAAATACTTAACATGTTGGATGCAATATGATATAAAGTGACCAGCTATGAAACTGACACTAAGTAAAAAACTCATTGGACTTTAGGGGGTGCTGTAAAAACATTTGGTATTTAAATGTACAGACAGAATTTTGTAGCTTTTACTGGTTTATGCTGTGAAATTCCAATAATAAAAAGTTTCTGTTTTTTTATTTACTGTGAGACTTCTGTCTTGTTTTGTGGAATTCAAAGATTGTAGTGTAGAAATATTGTTCAATATTACCCTCTTCAATCTGTGAAAAACTCAAATTGTGCACTAACGAGTAGTTTCAATAATACAGGAACAAGTAAAGATTTATTCCATGCTGAGAAGAATGGAAAAGAGACACACCTTTTGGCTGTGGAGCCCTCTTCAGGTGTGGATTTCAATAATACACTAAAACACAGATTCAACTGTTATGCCTTGGTGCAGAAAGGAAACTAAATTTTCATTGACAAAACGAAGGACTACTGTAAGTGAACACGTACAAAATATAGGTTATATTAGGTACAGTTTTTAGGAAAATCCAACTACTGTGTTCATGATTCTAGTCAATTCTGAACCAATTACTGAAGCAGTAATGCATCAGTGTAGATATCAGTATGTTCTATTTAATGTTTATTATTATCCTTATCATGACATTATCAGCCCCAGCTGTTCCACAGAATTCCTTCTTCATGTTGAATATTGTATTTAGAACTTTACTGCATTTCTTTTCAGATATGGATGTGTTCCATCATGACAGTCATCATCTCCAGGGTGTATCCTGCCTTGAACCCATAGCTTGCTGGGATAGGTCTAGAAAACTGATGAAAGCATTTCAAAAGTAATCAGTAAGTTCATTGAGTTGCAACTTGTGAATATTAATTTTGGTAAATCGATTTCTATTTATATATTGAGTTGTAACTATATCAAAAGACTAAAATATACTGTATAAAACAGTGTTAAAAAGTTAAAATAATGAGGAGGCCATTGGGCCCATGATAGTCAACTCAATTCCTGTAGATCATCAGTTCTCAGCCTGAAGCTTGTAGGTTGTGCTTGGCCTAAATGATATGCTCCAAATAAAATGTAAAGATTGCCACATGGTTTGTCGAGTGATACATTCAAACAATTGAACAGAGAGCGCCAGCAGCTGAACAAGATAGATGAGAAAAAATTGCTTCAGGAATCAATGAAAGTAAATATGAACATGACTGAAAAGAAGCATCACAGTTTGGCAGTAGAAAGTAGCATTGTACAGGATGACTGGAAGATGCTTGTGGTTGTACAAAGTGCCTGAAAGCCATTTTGTTTATTATGTTGAACAGCTCTCATTGTTTACAAACCACACAAAATACAGAGACATTTCGAGACAAAACATCAAGATTTTTAAGCGAAGTCCCCAAACAAATCCCAAGACAGAGGATTAAAAATTACTCATCTTTGGTAACTGAGTAGAAAGTGCGTGACCTGTTTATTGGAGCAGGCACTTTGGCACTTGCATCTTACAAAATTTTGTGGAAGCTTGCCAAATACCAGAAGCATTTACTAGTAAACTAGTAAGAACTAGTAAAAGCTAGTTTTAGAATCCATACTCTGTTACTCTTTAATGAGAAACAAAAGTGAAATAATACAAAGAATAAAAGAACACAATAATGCAGAGTGCCAACAGATCTCTGATCTTTCAGAAAATCTGATTACTCATCTTGAATAAATGATTTGCTTTAAAACTTCCACTTTAACAGCTAAATTTAGCAGTCAATAAATCAGACTCAGGAGACTTAAGTACTGTACAATTAAGTGTTTGTAGTTGTATTTATAAAATGTTTTGGATGCTTGCCAAATACTGGAAGCATTTACTTGTAAAAGCTAGTTTTAGAATCTCTACTCTATCTCTTTAATGTTTTGAGAAACAAAAATTAAGTAATATGAAAAATAAAAAACACCAAAATGCAGTGTGCCAACAGATCTCTGATCTTTTAGAAAATCTGACTACTCATCTTGAACAGAAGATTGGCTCTAAAACATCTGCTTTAATAGCTAAATATGGCAGTTAATAAATTACACCCAGGACAGTAAGTACAACTTTGTGTTTGTATTTGTATTTACATTGATACTGCCAACTTTGAAATGACCAAATATTTGCTTTCATTCCAGTGACTACATGTTCATTCTTGTAAAGATGATTTGCCATACACTGCTGTTCTCCAATCCTGTAGTGAAATGAACAGTCTGCTAAATTCAATTGTTTATTTTCCAACAGGTAGATCAATGACAACTTGGAGTAAGTAGCTTAAATGACAAAGGATCGGGCCATTTTTTTGGTATTTTACCATATTGTGCAGCATCAGGCTTTGTATAACATATGTGAAGACAACGACATAAAGGGAATAATGGACGTTGTTGTTAAAGTAATTAAATTAATTCAAGCAAGACCTTTACTACATTGCCACTTTCTTTTTCTTGCAGCAAGACATTGAGTCTTCATATGGTGATTAACTGTGTGCTTTCCAAGGATAGAAATCTGGAATTAAAACATGACAGATGGAAGAAAGATTTCGCATTCCTTGCCAATCTCACTAGACATCTAAACAAACTCATTTTACAACCACAGAATTCAGAAAAATTAATAGATGAGTTAGTGTATAGAGTCCAGTTTTAGGAATAGGAATTAACTGCAAAAGAGGGAGTAAATTGTTTCCAACATACAGGGGGCTTGATACTAGAGATATAAGATATAACTGTACTAAATACTGTATGCTGAATGAATATTGTACCAAGTTTTACAATCCAAGATGTCAAGAACATGCTTCATGTCATAGCACTATCAATATTGGATCATCTTAACTGGCACTCAGGTTTTAGAGATAAAAATCAATAATGCTGTTTATACCTCTCTAGTACTGCTTCTGGGCCTAGTTTAGTGTATGCTTCTAGTATTTGTTCGGTTAATTAATTTAGAACATAAGAAAGGTTTCAAATGAAAGATCAAATGGCAAATCTAAATTTAGGTGCACAAATTTACCTTAATTTAATGAATTAACTAGTTGAGTGGCTTTTGTGTGCAATGATAGTGTTTCACATTATTTTAAATTAAAAACAACTATCTCTGTAAGGTCACTCAGTTACATGGTACATTTCTAGAAAAGATTAAAATATGCAGACAAAGGAGCTTTCAAAACAAATCAAGTTATATAAGGGCACAGATCAGGTAAAGTTTATAAAACCATTTCAAAGACCCTCAATATCTCTATGAGTTTGGTGAAGTTGGTCGTTAAGAAGTGAAAGGCACCCAGTCACTTCTTAATCAGGAGGTCCCTGCCAGAGCAGCCAGAAAAAGGAGAAATCTGGTTACAAAGTTCAGTGACTGAGATGAGAGGAAATGTTCAACGGTCAGCAATATCCCAGTCACACCTCAAAGGGAGCTTGGATTGAACTAAAAAAATCTCAATTCCTGAATGGAGTTTGTAACAAGACACTAAAGTGATGTAAACATGTGGTAAAGTGTTATTAGTCAGAATTTTAGGTGTAAATGCAAAGCATTACATCTGACACAAGACCAACATAGTGCATCACTTAGTCAACATCATCCCTACTGTCAACAATTGTAGAAGTATTGTGTTATACTTCTGTTTCTCATCAGCAGGGACTTGAAAGCCTATCAGAACTACATAGTGAACAAAGTACAGGCAAATCCTGGAGGAAAACCTGCTTCAAATCTAAAATTAGGACACAAATTCATCTTTCAGCAGGACAATGGTCTAAAATACATAAAAATAAAGGTGAAATAAAGGTGAAAGCTACACTGGAGTGGCATAAGAAGAAGAAAGTTGTCCTTGAGTGTCCTTGTCCTTGATGAGTTCTGACTTGAATCCTTTGCAAAGATTTGAAAACTGCTGTCCATAACCAATCCTTAAGGTCTTGAGAGACCTTAAGTAAAAAAAGTGAGCAAAATTATATCAAACGTGTGCAAAATTGCTGTTGAAGGTGCTTTCACAAAGTTGAGTTCACGCTTTAATTTTTTTTTACATTTGCTGTAACTTATCTTGCCCTTAGTCTTTAGTTTGACCATGCTTGTTTAAAAAAAAATTAAAGAAATATGAAAGCCTTGTAATTTCACAATATGAGACAACATAGGAAGGATCTGAATACTTTTGAATGGCAATATATGCAGTTTCAAATTCCATTCAGTGTGCATTGCTTGGATGGGAATTCTTTAAAACACATGGAACTATTATTGGTGCATAAGAATAATAATAGTAATAATAAGTCTCAGAGTAATCAAATGTTAAAAATATCAGCGTATTTCATTGTCTGGGACATTACACCTGAAAATTCATAGTGATTTTCTCAAGGAAGTGCAATGGAACATTGCATCACTGTCTGGTCTTTCCTCAGAAGAACTTAAGGGTATATACAGTACATTGTAAACTGCCAACACATTTCAGTCAGGAAGTGGGCAGTGTCTCATTTCACCTCAGTGACTCATTAGATCTTACCCATTCCTCAGAAACAGGTACAAGAATTATAATTCAGTTTGCTGGGAGTTTTTACAGGCAAATCTTGTTTTTAGGGTTTTCTTAGTTCTTCACTTCAAAACACAAAACTGTTCTTAGATATGCATCATTGTTTTCTCATGATACAGCAAATATTATGTAAAGCTTTTTAAAGCTTATTTACTGTAGCAGTGGTTTGTATGTAAGGACATGCTAAATGTAACATGTCAGTTATTTGCATTATTCACTTGTAATTTTCTGTAATTCCAGTCAACTATAAAGTCAACTTTATTTGCATTTGGTGTCAATGGGAGGACTTCTCATCTTTTACTGTAAGAATGAGTTGGAGAAACTGGTATTTCTGGTCATACTGGTATTGATCCTCATGTATTGTTCTGTCATCGGACTGAACTCCTTTCCAGTTGTGTCTAGAACTTCAAGCCTATTATTTGTGTTTCTCAGTATGTTTCAGATAAACGTGTTCTATGTTTGGGTTGTATTCAGACCTTCTGGAAATAGCGTCTAGTAAGAATACTGTTTCCAACACTTTAATTCCTACAACAACCAGTTTGTATGTCAAGAGGTTGTCACTAAAAAGTTTGCTGGTTTCCACGGCTACATTTACACTAATAAATTGTTGTGAGAAAAAAAAATACTTTTGAC